AAAAGAGAGCCATTTGACCTGCTATGTGATCCTCAGGTTAATTCCGGGAATTGAACATTTGATCAAATTGAATCAGATATCATGTAAATCAACAGATTTCAGAGTCACCTCTTGATTGGTCAGATCAATTCTGGGAAACTTCCCTTGATCCGCTCTTGATGAAGTGAATATTAAAAGTCCTCTTCCTCTTTCTCGACGCTCGGTTAAGCGAAAGAGCGCTATCAGCATGGCCTGTTCATTAGCAGGTAAGACTCAGTATCATCTTAAATAATATATTATGCTGCAAGGGACAAGCTACAGTCTTTGCGTAAAGAAATGCTGGCTTTTCGTAACACTGACGCTATTAAAATGCATGTGTAGCATTCCTTACGTTTAACTTCGTAAGCGAAACTGCACTGAGCTCAAACTCACCTCAGGTATATAAGAAATAAGCCTAGCTTTCTGTGTCCTCTCGAGAATTTAGAACACGCGCAATTAATACCAACTGAAGCATGATGACATTTTGTGCGATGTCAATAAACAGAGGGTTTAGACTGGTTCTGGTTGACTGGAGGAGAAAGTTTTGATTTGCATAATTGTGCAAGTTGATGACTATAAAGCAATTGAGACTTAAAAAAGTAAATTATTTGAATAACAAAATGTTCAAGATCAGTAGTCCCTTCATTTGGCTGTTGTCCATTGACAGTCACTGAAAAAAATGCATATCACCCTTTCCTTTCATGTTATGGCAAGATTTTTGAGAGGGCAAATTTTGGGACAAACAAAGGAAGTACTGAGAGCCAATCAAATGCGTCATCTAAATGGCGCAAAACTTGGATCCGCTCCGGACCAGTTTCGAGCAAAAACCGCAATGGTTGGCGTTTGCATCACATTTGCTTTTGCGACCGAAACAACTGTGGAGGAGTTGAAAAACTGCTCTAAAAACGAAATCACTGGTTTTTGGCTCTCTGTTTTGAAGAATTGGTGCGTAGATAAGGAAATTACAGATGAAATACAAAATTATGAGCCGGCTGAGCTTATTACTTTGCTCGAGCATTTCGACGCCGAAGTAAACAATAAAAACGGTGAAGATTATGAACCAGAAAGCCTTAAAAATTCAGTTCGTCCAAAGAGGTGTTGGATCGGAGGACAAAGCGAAACAGCTTCGCTTGGCTGGCCGTGGTAAGCGCCAACACAAAGTATCAGAGGAGGAAAAAGAAATTCTCTGGAAAAGCGAAAAACTCGGAGGTAATAACCCAGAATCTTTAACTCAAACAGACTGAACAATTCCACGAACTGTTCAGCCCGTTTCTGCAGCTTGCAAACTTTAAAACATCGAGCAAAATGTTGTTTTGACTGCACGTGTGATGATATTTGCAGCATTTGAATAATTTATTTTTGCACGTAGTCTTTTAATACGCGTGTTGACTCTATTAAAGTGATTTTAAAGCTATCTCACAATTTTTTCATGAATATTATTAATAAGTAATCACATGATTTCGAGTGCAATTTGGAATAAGCACTCGTAAATTTTTTCAAAGACAACAAATTGCACGAGCCCGTAATTTTGTTGGCCTTTGAAAAAATTTACGAGTGCTTATTTATTCCAAATTGCACTCGAACTCATTTGATTACCTGTACAACATGCATTTCCTGAAGACACGAGGAGTAGTGCTAATATTTGAGGAAACTTACGTCCTGTACTATTTAGTGGAAATTAGGAATCCGTAGAATCATTTAAGTTCATTAACTGTTTGCTTAGTGACTATCATGGAAATTCGTATAAATTTGACTTCCTTTCAAATTAATTTTAGGTCAAAAGATGTTTCGTTCAGATACGTGTACATTTTAGACATTAAAATATTGATTTCGGAGGCCCAGATAACAAAGGAATGTTGTGAAGTCCTTGACGAAGGCTCTGTTATTCAATACTTAAGAGCTATGTACGCGGTGGCGTGACGAACCGGCTACCGCTTGCCATTATTTGCTCTATCTATTATCTTACCTCTGTAAGTGTTGAACTTGCTGTCGAAGATCACCGTTTTCTGTCTCTAGTTTCTCAACTCGAGATGCAAGTTTCCTTATTGATGCAATGCCTTGTTCTGCAATGGCGTTTGGAGACAGCTCGTCCTCCCAGTTTTCACGTAAGAGCGGTTTTGATATAGCAGCTTGTCTATGAGTGGGCTGAACTGTGTTAGATGCAGTTCCTTTGTTTAGAAACCTTGCCATGATCGCAATGGATGTGTATCAATGCTCGGTTGCAAATATAAAACTGATCCAAAGCAATTTCCCGGATGCCTGTGTTCTTAGAAGTCAGGCAGGAAGTTGAAGTAGAATTATTAAGATTATGCTTTTCTATAAATCGTGGTTACGTTAGTTGCAAATTCCATAATACTACTGGCGAAGTCACAAATATTCGAAACATTCAGTCCCTTTATAATAGCTTCAGTCCTCAAAACGCAGCCACAGATTAACTAGGTACTAGCTTTTTTGAAGACTTAATTATTGTTCTGCGAAAAGAGAGCCATTTGACCTGCTATGTGATCCTCAGGTTAATTCCGGGAATCGAACATTTGATCAAATTGAATCAGATATCATGTCAATCAACAGATTTCAGAATCTCCTCTTGATTGGTCAGATCAATTCTGGGAAACTTCCCTTGATCCGCTCTTGATGAAGTGAATATTAAAAGTCCTCTTCCTCTTTCTCGACGCTTGGTTAAGCGAAAGAGCGCTATCAGCATGGCCTGTTCATTAGCAGGTAAGACTCAGTATCATCTTAAGTAATATATTATGCTGCAAGGGACAAGCTACAGTCTTTGCGTAAAGAAATGCTGGCTTTTCGTAACACTGACGCTATTAAAATGCATGTGTAGCGTTCCTTACGTTTAACTTCGTAAGCGAAACTGCACTGAGCTCAAACTCGCCTCAGGTATAAAAGAAATAAGCCTAGCTTTCTTTGTCCTCTCGAGAATTTAGAACACGGGCAATTAATACCAACTGAAGCATGATGACATTTTGTGCGATGTCAATAAACAGAGGGTTTAGACTGTTTCTGGTTGACTGGAGGAGAAAGTTTTGATTTGCATAATTGTGCAAGTTGATGACTATAAAGCAATTGAGACTTAAAAAAGTAAATTATCTGAATAACAAAATGTTCAAGATCAGTAGTCCCTTCATTTGGCTGTTGTCCATTGACAGTCACTGAAAAAAATGCATATCACCCTTTCCTTTCATGTTATGGCAAGATTTTTGAGAGGGCAAATTTTGGGACCATTGGACTGCTCTAATTATTCATCTTGATTATTAGTCTGTTTGATCATTAACGTGCACCAGATTTCTGGATTTTACCAGGCATCCAAACCCAAAATAGGGGAAGGTTTTTCATGTATCCTTGTCTCCGTATAGGTCAATCGAACGCGCTCTAAATCTATAGAAGGTTGTTTGTAATGGCGTTACTATCCAAATGAATTAAATCTTTTGGCTGAACTTGTGGTGCTTTTTTATTTCTCACAATTTTATAATGATTTGATGTTTTTTTGTGAAAGGGTGGAGTAAATGTCAGGAAGTGGAGATTGAAGGGGGAGTTGGTACAACCAAGCTGGTTTTTGTAGTTGTGTACACATTTAGTTTAAGAGCGTTAATAGAAGAAAGTGGATTCCGATTTCGTCGCTTCCGTACCGACTTGAATTGACGTTACACAAGTACAGGGCAATTCACAACGACGATTTTTAGCTCAGCAACATTGCGTCCAAAGTTATGCCCTGCAACAAAGGCAGGTCTCAGTGTTTACCTATGTTACAATCAACTTATCGAGAAATAAATAAGCCCGTCTTAATTTTAGATCACCGCGGCCTCTAAAGTTAACATCTATTTCTTAGGATTAAAGGCCGTTCAGTAGCCTTAGTTTAAGGTAGTTTCAACCTCAGTCAGGTAACATGATCAAGTCGTAGTTTTCGAATTTAGCTTTGGAAAAGTGCCTGGATTTCAGACATTACTTCAAGTCGATTTTACTCCCTCAGTGAGTCGTCTGAACCGACCAGCTGTTAATGACGCCCGGTGACGTTATTACGTATTTGCTTAATTCATGCAAAAAGTTAAGGAAAACACGATTTTCAAGTGGTAAACGAAGAAATATCGTCCAGAAATGACTACATGGTACAGAATTGTTTTTCTTTTTTTGATCGTAATTCAGTGATGTTTAATGTTAAAGGTGAAAATGACACAGGAAGTTCGATTTAAAAATCTCACAAAAATCGTCCACCGATGCTTGACGTAAACAAAATCACTGCCGAAACCAAAAGCGGCTCTAAATGAAAAACCTAGCGACCTACCGTATAATTCTTCATTTGTAGTTCAATTTAACAAGTCATAGTTTCGAAGACTAGGGTAATTTTGCTGTTTGCAATAAAGATTGTCGAAATTTTTTAACTCCACGCGCTGAATATCACTGACAGTCCCGCTAAAATTTTTCATAATTATACATAATTATTCGAATATTTGGACAATCAACCAATCAAAATCACCACCCGTTTTTCGTTGAGTAAAGTCACAGGACGGCATTCACGGCCGGTAGATTTAGACGCTACTGAGGGAGTAAAAACGACTCGAAGTAATGTCTGAAATTCAGGATATTTTGAAAAGTGAATACTAAAATATAAGGCCATGGCAATACTGCATGTGGCGTTTACTGAAATAGCCTGCATCACTGATTTTACTGTAAATTTAGATAATTAAAAACTAACTTGTTCATGCTTGTGGTTCAGAGAGTAAAAACACGCGTAAGAATTCACGTTTCACAGTTTTAGTAAGTATGCATGCGCCTCGCCCCATGTAATGGAATCCAAGAAAGTCTTGGATCCTGGATTCCACGCCGTGGATTTCAGACTCCATATTCTTTGTCAGTGGAATCTGGATTCCGGATTCCTTGAATTTTATTCTGGATTCCAAAGTCAAGGATTCCAGATTCCTTAAGCACCCTAACATGGGGCGATCCTTTCTTGTGTTTCTATTTTAACAGGTAGTGCTAACTCAGTTATACATTCCCAAAAGCTTTATATTGCAACAGTGGGAATCGACTTTGGCACGACTTACAGTGGATTTGCGTTTTCATTTAACAAGGAGGAAGATGACGAAGCGATTTTTATGAACAGAGACTGGGTCAATGAACTCGGACATCGAACAAGCAAAACACCAACCTGCCTGCTGTTAAATCGAGACCAATCTTTTGACTCGTTTGGATACAAGGCAGTTGAGAAATATGCTAATTTGAGAAGCGTGTATGAAGAAAAAGAATTCTTCTTCTTTCAAAATTTCAAGATGAAATTGTTTGAGGTGAGGGTGAAAAACTGTATTAACGAAATCTAAAAATCAAACCAGTAAGTATACAGGACTCATGCCTATCGCTTAGTGTAAACATAATTATAAGCTGATTATTGTTTATTTAACCCTATTCATGACCGGGGAAGGGGCTACGAAGAGCTTCATCCACAGCTTCAAATCCGTTCATGATACAGCTACCAAATTTACGCAGAATAATATCCTCATAGTTTTTAACATCTAGGCATAACTTGACTGACACAATAACGTCATACGAACCTATTATGACATCCTTTTGTTGTTGTTATTGGTAGAATCTAAATTCCATCCTTTTCTCCCCAAAAAGCGAAAAGTACTTAAATAGCAAGGCGTAGTATAGATCTGGAACCATCCGCCATCTTGGATCCACCATTTTGAATCAATTAAATGTATTCAATTTTACGAAAAATCTGTATAAATGGAGAATCGAGAAGAATAGTTGATCTGTGCACAAAACTCTGACAGAAATTAACACTGTTAAAAATTGAACCCTCCACCTGCCGTTTAAACATTTGAATCCTTGTTTGTTTGTTTGTTGTTGTTTTTTTTTTTCAAAAATCAGCCACTTAAAGCCTGGATGACACCAAAAGTTATAAGAAGTGTAATATTATAATTCAATAAGTGAAATAAATTTTTAGAAATAAATCCTTTTTATAAGAAAAAGCAAATTTTGAAAAAAAGCCGTTGACTGCCAAAACACAGTTGCAACAGCAACGTCAATGTTGACCTGCACACTTCAAAATGTTTCCTGATAGTTTTTAGGGGAAGCTGCAAAGTTTGGTGGCCATAGCTTAAACGGTGTTGATGTTTTTTAACTTTCAGGCGAGACGGATTGGGCTCAAAAGCCTCACCCGGTTTGAATAGGGTTGAAATATATGTCGTCTTCAAATTGAAAGACCGGAAAAGAGGAAATTTTTTAATAACAGATACTTTGTGATCTTTTTGTGTATAATGTTTAGGTGTTTGTTTATTTCAGTTTTATGTTTATTTATTTTGTTTTGTTCTGTTTTGGTTGTTGGATGTTGAAGTGCACTTCACTGCCTCTAGTTAATTCGGATAGTCGCGTACACTAATTCTTTACAAATAAACCGAATCAAACATAGCAGAAGGGATTGAAACTACAACTGGCAGAAGACGAACCATCAACTCTTTACATGCTCCCTAAATAGTTTCAGAGCTTAAAAATTCCTCTCAAAAATACCTTTCAAGCAAGGATGGGGACCGCGGGGCAAGTTCAAGACTGCGTTTGTGGTGGTGGTGGTGGTGGTTGCGGGGGGTAGGCCTACTTTTAAGGAGATTTAAGGCGACTTTAGGCAATTTTAGGAAAATTTGCTCAAAGTGTTATGCAATTTATTTCTAATTTAGACTACTTTAGGTCCCAGAGTAGGACTGGGAGGATAGTGTTTAAACGACAGACTGATCCAGATAGCAAAATTGACGAAAAAGGAAACAAAGTATTAAAACAAAAAATGTTTTTTGAACAAATTCGTCCCGGTATTTCGGTGTGAAGACAAACCTTCTTCAGGGGTTAAAATAGTAAATAAATAAAAATTCGTACAGAAAGATCAAGATTAAAGCAATAGATGATGAGTGATGTAGATGACTTATAGGCTATATCATATATCATCGAGCTTTGACATGTCCATTCGAACGAGCTCATAAGCATGACTATGTTAGGAGTTTAGGGGGTATGCACCCCTCGGAAAAAAAAAGAACATGTAAAATTTACGTCTTATGAAATGGCTAGACATTTGTCTCATTTATCCCGTTCTCTTGAATTGCACGAATTCGTTATCTTATTCAGACCAGGCTTTAGTCTAGGTGAAATAGTTAACGGGCAAACGCAAGCTGCACGTCTCGGAATACCCCGCCCCCCTCCTTTGCAGAGTCTCCTATGCCCCTCCCTGACATTCTGTACGGATAGGCGAGCGTACTCTGTCGTCATAACCCAATATTTTTCCAATAGATAGGTTTCCAGTTTCTATTGCAATGGAGGTTCCGCCGCGAGCGCTTCATGCATGCAGAGGTTCCAAAGAACCCATCGGCGCATTATGATTAGCGTCAAGAATGCACAGCTACAGAAAATCATGTATTATCTACCAAAACTAATTTATCCGGCAGATTTGGAGGTTTAATGATCATGATCATGAAGCTGCGATGTAATTGAGTTAGACTTCCTTCAAATAACTAACTCCCGAAACTAACCCTGTAAGTTTAGTCCCTTCAGTAGAATATTATGGGGAACAGTATCGTAAGCCGCAGAGAATGTAAGAATCAAATTAAAGTACAAGAAAATTTCGTTCCGCAGTGGGACAAACAATATTATTATGAACTCGAGTGGGTGGAAGGGTGGTCTTACAGCTGTGAAATTACTATTAGGCAGATTGCAGAAGTTCAGTAAGGTTGCATAGCGCCAGATACTGAGTAAGACGAAAATCTACAATGCCCATCAATAATTTGGGAAACATGCAGCTAACGGCACGTAAAAAAGTCTCTTACTTCCGTCGTCGATAATAATCAGTGAGAAAACTATATCTTTTTCGAAATAATGGATAATGTAAAGTTTGAAAACATTTCGCTCTTGAAAATGTTAAGCAATAAACATTGAAGCAAAAACTTACAGTTTCGGAAAAACCAGTTAAAAACAAAGTTGCGTATGGTGGACAAAAATATTGCGAACTAGTTTAAAGAAAAATCTACGTGCTCTTTAAAAGAGTGGATATTATTAAGGGCAAAAGAGATTTCTGTAAGTAATAAATGTGCTGAAAAAAAAGCAAACAAACAAACAGACAGATTGCCAAACAAAAGAACGTACAGCCTTAACCTCCCAAACAGACCCCCTCCACCACCACCACCACCACCACCACCACCACACTGTCGACAAAACCTCATCTTATGCGTGATCCCTGTTCTTCTTGGCATCGTTCACAAATAATGTGTTCTCGACTTATAGTTTTTCTTCCTTTCATAGGATATAGACTTAAAAAGCTCTCTTTATGCCGCCAATGGCAGAGCCGTAGAAGCGAAGAAGGTTTTTGCTCTCTCGATCAAGTTTTTGGGAGATGAAGCAGTTAAGCTCATTCGTCAAGAAACGCAAGACGATGATTTTAAAGCCGAAGACATTCAGTGGGTGTTAACTGTTCCTGCCATATGGACTCCAAGCTCAAAGCAGTTCATGAGAGAAGCAGCTTATGAGGTATGTACGGTAGTGGACTATGAATAAGACATCCAAACCATCCTAGCTTACTTTAACGGTGAATATTGTAGGACCCCCGCAGTCTTTTGAAACTTTATCCAGTGGTAATGTTAAAGAAAAACAGTAACTTTTGTAGCCAAGTTATGTATGTTGTTTGGGATCTGAAGCTCACTTCCGATGTGTATATTTTTTTTTCTCATGTTTCATGCAAGGTTGTCTAACAATCGCCGAAAAAGAAACATACGTTCTGGTGTTGCAAAACTGGCTACACGTACTCTGCGTCAATTCCTCGTGCAGGCGTATGAATCGATGTATTTTTAGCTGAAAACTTAATCTGAGTATAAAAAGATTCTTAGGAAGCAAAAAGTAAAATCAGCAAAATATGACATTCCTAGAAAAAGGAACACTGTTGAAAACGTAACTCAGCAACTGCAATTGTTCTCAAACTAGCCACTAAAAAGTCTTAACAGTTACAGTAACTTTGGTAAAATAATAAATAGTGTAATATAATAATTCAATCAGTTAAAATAGAAATTATACTTTTGGAAAAAAAAGGACTGTCAAAACTCGGTTGCCACATTAAAATCAATATTGACATACACGAAGACTTTAAGATGTTCTCAAATAATTGTTAGGAACAGTCGCTAAGTTTGATGGTCCTAGCTTGAACGGTTTTGAAGTTATTGAACAATTTAGCGTGGGGGGCTCAAAGGGCCCCCTGGTCTGAATAGGGTTAATGACCTGACCAAGGGTTGTTGCACTTGACAGGCTGGTATCGTATCACGGGAGCATCCAGAGCAACTGAAGATTGCATTGGAGCCTGAAGCTGCCGCATTGTTCTGTACCATGAGAAAGATTGACGCCATACAATCCGAGAGGCTAAGCGCGTCTGTAGATGGGCTTTTGACTCGACCAAATGCCCAGTACATGGTTGTTGATATCGGAGGTAATAAATTTAAATCACAGACATGTCCGTATCTTGTTAGGTTCTTCCCAGGGACTGTTACTGAGTGCTGTGCGGGAAATATTCCCGTAACCACAAATATTTTTTCATTCGGGTAACAATAATGTTCATTTCTTTAATATACATCTAGCCGGATTTTTGAAAACGATACCGCCAAATGGACCTTTTCCGTCTCATCTCCAAAGTAGCCATTGTAAAAACTTAGAGTGTGAGCATTGCTTTCTTCTCTTTTCCTCCTTTCTTACCCTCACTCCTTTTTTCGCCTTTTCTTTACCTTCTTTAGTGTGATTTTAGAGCTTATCGGGCTCAGAAAACCTGCCATTTTACGCTATTTCACTCAAATGACTGCAAATTTCGTTAGGCTGGTTTTCAAAAAAGTGGTTAGACATATAGTGCTATATTTATACACAAAAAAAATGTTTTGAGCAAGTTCATTGTCCAATTCTAGCTTCAGACGTTTGATTAGACTGTTACTATGGTAACTTTTAAAGTTGAGAAAACGCCTATTACTTTTTGATCAGCTGACATGCAATAATTTACATATACAATGCATATATGACTTACCCGATGATACAATTTCAAAATGATCCCATTTGATATTATGTCCGGTGGATTTGATATAGCCAGCAATAGCTGACTTGAGCTCATTTTTAGCGTGAGCCTTGAAGAAGTGTCCAATCTTTTTATGATGAGGTTGTCGCTTTGTTTTGCCAATATAGAAATCAGCAGCTAATTTGTAAGCTAGTTGTTGGGATCGCAACGATTTCTACATTGGCAAAACAAATTCACGACTCCACGACGACACTGATTGTCAGGTGCAAGATGAAAGAAACAAGCTGATGCTGTATTGATTAGCTTCTGCCTTTTTATTTCTGGAACCCCTTTTTTGTGAAAACTATGGTCATTGATTTATTTGGCTATGTATTTATTTATTTATGTATTTATTTATTTATGTTTTTAGATTTTAGTGGCGGTTACGAGATGCCCTTATTATTATTAAAACTGTAATAATAATAATAATGATAATAATAATCGATAATGCTGATGATGATAATGATGATGATGATATGATGATTTTGTTGTTTTTGTTATGTTGTTGTGGAAAGGTTAATGATAATGATTATGATAATGTTAATAATTGAAAATGATGATGATGATGATTAATTTTATTGTTGTTGTTGTTGTTGTTATGGAAATGTTACTAATTTTCTCTTCTTTTTGTTGTTTAATTTTAGGAGGAACTCTTGACGTGACAGCGCATGAGAGACAAGACGATGGCACCATAAAAGAGATTCACAAAGTGACTGGCGGGCCCTATGGGGGCTCAAAGGTCAATCATCAGTTTGAAGGCCTTTTGAATCAACTTTTTGGCGACGAAGAACTATATGAATACCGCAAAGTGTTCCCCGCGGATTGGCTCAAGCTGAAAAACGACTTCGAAGAAAAGAAGCGCAATAACCGTGCCTTGCAGGGTAAAGAAACGAAGATCCTCCTTCCGGTAAGTTTGACCACAACCGCCACGGAAATTCGTCCTCAGGCTCGTGAGCGTTATGGTGATGAAGTCAAAATTGTGAGGCAAGAGTACCTATCCTTAAGCTCCAGGGTTATGATTGATCTGTTTAGTCCAGTTCTTGAAGCTATGGAAGAACATTTACTTACCCTACTAAACAAGGACGTGCTTTCAAAGGTCAATGTGATACTTCTTGTGGGCGGTTTTGCGGTTTCTCCTGTTCTTCAACAGCAGATACAGGGTGAATTGTCAAAGCGATACCGTATTATCACACCTCGCAACGCAGACACAGCGGTTGTCCAGGGAGCGGTAATGTTTGGAAATATGCCAACTAAAATTACCGCACGAATCGTCCGCATAACGTATGGCGTTGACTGCTCTCGAGATTTTATCCATGGCGTACATCCACTGGAAAAAAAGTTTGTGGCCGACGGTATTGAAAAATGTGGAGACATATTCGCCTGTTTCGTAAAGGAAAATGATACAGTCATGCTTGGTCAATTTATTCGAAGAAAATTTAATCCTCTCAGAGCTAACGACACATTGATTACGTTTGGAATCTACACTGCTGAAGACCCCAACGCTCAGTTCGTTACAGATCAAGGAATGACAAAGATCGCGACAGTCACAGTTCAGTCCCCCGACACTCACAAAGGCCGCGACAGGGAAATCGAAGTCAGCATGTATTTTGGGGGAACGGAAATAACAGCAACCGCATTAGATGTTTCTAGTGGAAATGTAGAGCAAATCAGGCTTGATTTTTTCGCTAAATCTTAGGGCAAGTGGTTGTTTAGCCTTATTCTTTATTACGCAAGCTGCGTGATCAGCATGTTGTTAATTCGACCCTTTTTAAGTAGTGTAAGTATATTTTTGTTGTTATGATAGTTATAGAAGGCTCTGGCAGCTGTTTTCAGTTTAAATGTGTAATGAATGCAACAATTGTGAGCAATTATTCCTTGATGTATTGCAGATAAGTTTTGGGAACGTTAATGAAAGCTTATACGAATTTGAAACACTTTTTACTTTAGAAACCAAAAATCAACTGAAATAAATATATAAATATCATAGGTAAATAAATAAATAATATTAATAGTAACATGATATTAATTTGAGGAGGAATCGGAAAAAAAATCCGAGTCCCAGATGGGATTTGAACCCACGACCCTCCGTGATCTAGTCGGATGCTCTAACCACTTGAGCTACTGGAGACTCTATGGTGAGCAAGGGCCAATTTGTGGGTCTCGACTGGAACCGCATCACGCGGCTACACAGCCAAGTAATGATAGGCACACAAGAAGTGA